CATTCTCGACGTTAAGGATTACTAAATGCATGATAATTAGCATATACCCCTAAGTCAGCTTCAGCCAGAAAAGCTGTAAGAAACTCAAGTGCAGTCCGTTTTGGAGGTCCATGGCAGGAGGCACTGTGGGAAGCTGGCTGAGGGTCTCAGCTCTTCAGCTGCTCCATGTTCAGCCTGTGGGCAAGAGATGAACACAACTGGGGAGAGCACGGCTGGCCAGCATCCTGGGGAATGGGTGGGAACCTCTCTCAGGAGGAAATGGCACTTCTCTCCAACACTACTTCTTCCCAAAACGGCTGCTGAAGCCAGCCTGCTCTCTGTTCTCAGTAATCACTTTACCAAAATTTCGAAGGCATTATGTAACTGAAACAGTGTAAAGTTATTGCTACCGACATTGTCAATAAATCATTAACATTTCTTAACAGGAACAGCACAACTGTTCATGTCATGGCTGTCTCATTCACTTTCAAATCAAAGCTTTCAAATTAAATATTCATTTAATATTTAAATATTAATGCAGTCCCACTGTTTCTGTAACAAATATTAATTTCTTATGGCATTTCCAGGCAAATGCATATATTATAAACTCCATCTCCCACAGGAGAGCCCTCAGTCTTCTCCTTCCTTCTTTCAGCATCATCCTGACACCGGGCCAGCAAGGGACTTTGAAAGAAGGAGGGGCAGCCTGATGCAGGGAAGCAAGGTGGATAATTTAACTTAAAGTGTACCCCATTCCTCCCTTCCCACACAACCTCCCCACCCTTAGATCAGGATATCGAAGGCTGCCATTATATCTCCCGCCTACAGAATGACTCATTCATACATTCAGCAATTCCTGTTGGAAAAAAAACAGTGAATGCCTCTGTCACCAGAGCCCATTACAGAAATTAAACTTTGCAAATCATCAGGGAGGGGCAAGTTTTAAAGTCTTTCAAGGCACACGCCTGGTCTCCCAGGCCTCAGTAAGAGCAGAATTGATTTGACAATAAGCTTTTACAGCTTTAATGCCTCTGGTAGGCAACACACACATACCTGGGTAGGAAGCAGGTCACAGGAACAGAGTACTTCTCTCTTGCATTTTTTTCCCTCAGTGGTTCATCTCAAGTAAAAAGACACTGAACAGCAATTTGCAGTGCTATTCCCATTGCTGTGCCATAGGTTGATTTCTAAGAGTTGCACAAAGGGCACTCCTTGCCCATCCATTCTGCCTCCCATCCCATCGAAGGAAAGCTCCAGGCTTCCAAGGATGTCACTCAAAAGGAAACTCAGATTGGAAGCATCCAGAGCAGAAGCTAAGATTACTCACTGATAAATGTCCGTGATGCATCCCCATTTACACAGACTAATTTTCTACACAGTTTACTATAATTACTTCTGTTGCTTGTAGCTTCCTTATCCCCTCTCCTGGGACCATTAAGCCTAAGTTACTCAGAATGAGGAGTAAAAGCTCTATGGCCTTCAGGCTCTTTCATATTTTCTCTCACTATTTCCTTCTCCAGTCACAAAGATCCTCAGTTTTTGTTTTTACAAAATACTGTGTCCACATAAAATTCATTCACATGCAAGGGAAGGAAAATTATTCCTTGCCTCAACTTGTTAATGGCTCCAGACCTCCCTTTCACCACATATCTGCCTATGGGCTCTTTGGAATGAAGTTAGCATTAGCAGGAGTTAACAACAGGCTTCTAACATGGGTTGCAACTGAAATACTCTGGAGCTGGATTTCAGCAGTCATTTCTGATTGCTTGTTGGATATTGACTCAAAAAATGTTCTAAAATTCCTGTCAGAAGAGCAGGAGGTGCTTGGCTGGAGGTACTATGCAGCAGGAGCTGACTGACTGGTACCACATTTCTACGCCCTTCCAACCCCACTACATGCTAAGTCTTTCTGTTCAAGCATTCATGACCTGAGCACTTGATGGGCTTATGGCAGCTGTGTTCTTAGTTAATTTTGAAGACATGAAGACTAGAATTTAGGTGAAAATCCTACCTCCAATGGGATTTCACCTTTTGCTGATGCTTGCTGCCACAGGGCAAGAGGCAGAAGCCAGATTATCACTTACGATTAAAATCACAAAGGACTCTGACAGTACTAACATCAAGCAATCTTACCACTGAGAGGAGTCTGGATGCTTAGTCTGCCTGAGATAAGTTGGGATGCTTACACATAGCAACCTTTCCTTGAATGCCAACCCCATACAGAGACAGGCTTTTCCTGGAAAGTACGCTCCTATGCAGAAACCAGCGGCCTATGAACATCTCACCCACCCATCACCCCTCTACTTACAGCCCCCACCACCTTCCCTTCCCTCCCAGAAGCCTCTTCTTTCTAAACCTATCCCTTCCCCTCCTGCTAAAACTTGTTCCTATACTTCTAGCCTCCAAAGTAATATTCACCCCACTTCCTCCTTCCTTGTCTATAATTGCATCCTTCTCCTCTCTTACTGTCCAACTCCTCCACGTTCATTTTCTTTCTCCCATTACTCTCACTTTCCATTCTTGCCTCTCATCCTTCCCACTTGTGAATGGTACCTGTCCTTCCTTATATTCTACTTCATCCTTTCTCCTTCCAAAGCGGCATCCAGCTCCTGGAAGCATTCAGTGCCTATTTTACTGCTGTTCCATAAAATACTTCCTGATCTTTCTTTCTCTCTTAAAAAAAAATAATAAAAAAAAAAAAGAGAGATGCTACAGAAAAATAAACTGTATTCATTTTTGAAAGTCCCCGTGCCCATTAAGGCACCTCACTCAGCTGAGTTTTTTACTGCTCATCATAAAGCCTCCTGCAGTCCCATTATAGTTGACTAAGAATAAAGCATGGCTTGAAAATAATCCCAGCATTACTGATTTCCGCCTGTGCTTCTTAACCTATTTAGAAAAATCAACATATTAGGAGAAGCACTCCACCCCAGGTTTCAAGGGCAATGCCCAAATGGGAAAGGTGATGGGAAGCACAGAAAGTTCCTGCTGCATCCACCAAGCTCTTAGCAGCCCTTGAGCAACACAGGGAGTGGCTGCAGCACTGCCAGCGCCCACCTTGCCCTGCAACATGGGCTGCACGCTTGCTACGGATTAGGGCACCTTTGAGTGACGTTCGCCTTGTTTTTCAATCAGACATGAGAGGGAGGGAGCATCGAGGCCTCCAGAAGTGACACAAGCAAGCAAAACAGAAAAAGTGCAGACCCAGCAGCAGACGGCAGTGCTGGAATGGGCCCCAGGCTCGGCTGTGAGAGCAGGTGACCAAAGGCCACTTGCGTTTTGGGGTGGACATGCAGGAGGAACACGAAGCGTGAGTCAGAACCACACCTCACGCGTGGCCGTCAACAGTATCTGATATTGTTAAGCAGGAGGACTCTGGCATCAGAGGGAAGGTTTTCTGGGTCCTCGCCAATGAAGTGATTGCTGAGGAGGATATTAGGTGTAACAGGATGTTTTTCTAGCGATGGCTGAAGGCAGAAGCTAAGTCACTGCTTTGGCTTCCCTTCTTCCACACCTCCACCAGGGATCAAAACAGATCCCTAGGTGGAGGAAAAGCTTTGGCTGTGCAGCCTGTATAATTCACTCACACTCCTTCTGAACAATTTATTTTAAAAATGTTAATAATTCCATTAGAGATGAGCGCATTTTCCGGCTATCCAGCTCATTCTCCCTCCCTAACGCTGGCACTTCAAATATATTGTTATAGAGTTATACCATTACTAGATTAAAAGGATGTCACAGACTGTGTCAGTTATGAATTCAAGAGATTGCATTAAGAGAGAAAATCTGAAAGTGTTACTGTTAGTTGTCTGGCATTATTCTCTGTGGTTGTGGTATGCACTACAGGTAAGAAGGAAAGTTAGGAAAGCTCTACATCCTGTATCAGGAGGTGGGTAATGGTGGCCCAAAGTTTGTCTTACCTCTATTGAATGATGCTCAAAAAATTGTGTACAAGAGGAGCCCAAAATTGCCAGCAAAATCTACAGTAGCACAGACTTGGAAACCTTTCAGCTGACGGATTTATGTTCCTTGAAAAACAGAAGTAAAAAAATTGCCATCAAAACACCAAGCCCCCAAAGAACCATGAGGAACATGAAGTCCACAGGACCATGCTACATCACAGCACAGAGCCAAACAGGGCAGTCATGTAGGTATACAGGCTTTCCCTTATGTTGTCTTTCACCAAAGCTTCTTTGGCTACCTTTGCTGGCTCTCAACCTGCCACTACCTCCAGCTCAGACCAAGCACAGCTTTTCTCCTGCCCTCCCGTACACACTGGGCAGGAACTGGCATGCTGTATCAATGTCACCAGCCCTCCAGCATCCTGCAAACAGCTCTGTTTTGCTTCATTACCAGTAATACTCTTCTGTAGCTATTACATATATATAGCTACTTGTCTTTTCTCCAAAATGGTGTCACCTATCCCTCACAGCCTGCAAGACAGACAAGACAGACATACATTCATACCAGTTTTGTTCTGTCTCTGCTCTGTGTAAACAGGCTGAGATGATGATGCATCCCATGAAGCTGAGCTGAATGAGCTGTAACAGTGACAAGTGCTCCTGCTACCTGCCACTACCCAGGAGAAATTTCGTGTCCTACACACTATCAAAAAAATGAGCAGAGAATTTTCTAAGATGAATTCGGACTATTGCATTTTATAGCCAGGTGGGTGCTAAATGTATGTTTGTATCAGAAATGACACTTCACACAGTGTATGATGTCCCACATGCCAAGTCACTCCATTTCTTTACTATTTCAGTTTTTCGCCTTATCATGTTTTCTACATTCTTTTTTTAAGCAGCCATCTGTTGCAATTATAGCAATGAATTGCACCAGCACAGATGGAAGAAAATCCGTAAGGTTGCAGAGTCAAGATTTCAGTGATTAGGAAATCCCTGAATTATGCTTGATTGTGCAATCAAAATTTGTTCCCCATATGCACACACTCTAAGAGCCACCTCCCGAACGCTGTGATCATGTGCTGCCTTATCACATGCTGCTTACCTCTGCCTCACTCCACACACAGATCCTGGCTCCAGGAATGAACTGGAGAGAAAATGAAGCTGTATTTTTTGCACGAGAGTACAGACAGATTAACAGAGAGAGCTCTTCCTTTGCCATGCATTGGTAGCTCAGGTGCAGAAGCTCCAAAACCATGCAACAGGGCACGAGGTGCAAATGCAGCTCCAGTAAAATGCGCGTCAGCAATACAGGAGTGAGGTCCCCACCGTCATCCAACATCAAGTCTGTGTAAGTGGAAGTTTGAGAGTTTCATTTTGAAACAGCTGTGAGGTTGTTTGGATTGTTGTGTTGGGTTTTGTTTTTTTTTTTAAGGGGTAATACAACATAATTTCCTCCCAATTTGTTCCTGGAAGGAGAGGACTAGTTTGGCTCACATCTTATAAGAGATGAAGCAGCAGAAAAAATTTCAGCCTGAAAGAGTAACTGAGGAAAATGTGAAGGTTTTATCTTGAAACCATGAGAAAACTGTGACCTTGGCTGGTATTTCTCATTCAGCCCACACTGTGAAGTAGCTGCATCTGAGGGCATTTCTTTCTAGGTAGGTTTGATGCCCATTTTTTTGTTTGTTTTTCAGCCACAAGATCTAAATCACATTCTCTTAAAGCAACACAAAATTAAGTAAAATTTGGCCAGAAGACATGGAGAACAGCAGAAAACAACGATTTTGACAGCCTGAATGCTTCAGTTCCAAATCTTTCAAAATGACGGGATTCAAATTTTCCCTCCATTGAGGTCCAGAGACCAATTTTACCTCCGTTTAATTCAGTAGCACTGAGTTTTGACTTTACTTTGAGCTGCACAAAAATCGTTGTTTCATCTGAAGCCCTGCACTCCTTGAGGGTTATATAAGACTGCTTTCCCTCTGTGGGAATGGTTTGGAAGATGCTTTCTAGAGACATACTCCTCAAATGTGAATGAACGCCTCCGTATTTGGCTAAATGTTGGTTCAAGGCACCTTTGGGTGATTGTGTAAAGCCAACCTCCACATGCAGCATTCACTTAGCAGGGGCAGATCTCTGCAACAGCACTTTGGTTCACCTCTGGAGAGAAGACTGGGGAAAAGCCATCACTGAAACTATTTCTTCAAATCACACGAGTCCAAAGCAGTGATGTTCTCCCTGCCGTTGGAACGCTTGGAGTTCTTCCTCTAGGGGTAACTACTGCTCCATCAGTTATTTCCAAAAATGCATTTCTTCACTCTGGCACGAGGGGAATTTCCCCAATTCGTTGCCCAGCTCCACCATTTTGATAACTGAGCTACTGAAGGCAGTTCTCGCCTTGCAGAAGGGAGGTCAGCTCTGAGCGAGGGAGGATGCTCCATTCCCTTTGCCATGCAGGAAACATAAGTCAGATTGTGCTGTGCTATCAATAAACTCTGCCTATTTTTTCAGCAACAAACTATAAGTTTTTTTTCAGCAAGTGCACTTAATATAATTTTGTTTGCCAAGTGGAGTAATGTTGCCTCCCTCCTTGATTACAGTTAAGTAAAAGTGTTTTTGTTTCAAATGGGAAAACAAATGGAACAGATTCTCCGGCCATCCAACACTCACATGCATCTCTGGCATGAAGTTTATCACTCAGCATGGGTGGGAGGAAGGAAATAGCTTTTTGGACACCCCTTGCTACAATATGGGAAGCTGATCGTGATAGAAGATAGTCCACAATCTATTATCCTTGACAACGTTTTACAGAACTGTCACAGTGGTATGCAAGTCAGAGAAAAAAAGCTTTGGGCCAAATCCTTAGAAAACACAGAGTGACATATACTGGGGAATTTGCCCCTTTGTCTACAGTGTACGGAATTATTCATGCCAAATCACTTCATAGGAAAATTTGGGCTTTTTTTCCTGGTGCTGGACAAGTTGTTTGGAGGCACAGTGTTGCTGGTTCCTGCACAAGAACAACCTCTTTATCCATCCAGCCTCCACCTAGCTCAGTATCCTGCCGCTAACTGCATCCAGGTGGCAAAGGGAGGGCCTGGAGCAGATGAACCTTCAGCCCCAGCACAGAACAGCAGATGATGCCTGAAGCCAAAAGCCTATGCTTCTTCATCCCTAATGAAAATGAGCAAAGTACCCACACTGTTTCATGGGTTTCTGTCTTACTAGTGCACAGATAACAGATTTCACAACTCCCTAAAAACTGTACCTGTTTGTTACCCAGGCATTTGTTCCTACCTGCCACCTTCTGCTAGCTCAGTGGTAAAAGCATGTGTGCACTTGGAATGTGGAGTTTCGGGCACCCTCTTACTGGGATTTCGTATGGAATGTCCATATTCCACTGGCAGAGCAGAAAGGAAGCATTACCTGTTTCTCTTACCTATTAGATACACTTAGACTGGGAATTCTTATCTACTAAAGTTTCCAAGGGCTGACCTGAAGGACATATGCTCTGTTTCCTTGAAATAGCACACAGCATATTACATCAGGCTTGTGTCTGTCCCAAGCTGAACTACTCAGTAACTGGAGAATGGAAAAATGCTGCCAGCGCCCAAGTTGCACGTTGCCACCTCCCTCTGTGAGCTCCTTATCTGGGGAATGCCTGGTGGATGGGACAGCAGAGCTTCTGCCAGAGAGCCCCTTTCCTTCTGGGGGCTCGAACGGCCCCAAACATCCCACTGCAGCAGCAGAACTTGTCCCAGATGGGATAAGGCCCAGTATCGCAAGGCAAGAGGAGGGACACACTCAAGGACTGATGAGGATCACCCTTCCCAGGCTTTTGTAATGGTGCATATAATGCAGCGGGATTCTGAACAGCACGGAGGGGCAACAGGTAGTTTTGCCATCAGGGGGAGTAAAATCAGCTTAGGTGAGCATCTAAGGGTGTCTGGCTGGCAGACTGCCTTCTTCCAACACAGCCCAGTGAACTCAGCTCCGCCACCATGAAAACAGTAGGATTTGTATTTTAAAGTGCCTCATTAGATCAAGTGCTCATAGCCAAAGCTGAAAGCAAGTCATAAGGGGAGGAATGGGGTGGTGGCAGCTGGGAATCTGGCAGCTGTGTGATCTCTGGGGGCTACAATTGAACATGTAAATTTCTATATTAAGCAGCGAATGCATCTATTAGGGTAAAATTGCTCCAGTTTAATTGTTAGATAGGCATGTTTGTTAAAATACAATTTAAGCAAGATCGTATCGTTCTTCCTCACTCAAGAGTGTGTGCTCGATAACGTCGTTTGTCAGCAACTGCCTATTATGTTAAATAGCTGAGGAATTGCTGGATATCTTTCTGCTTAGATAATAACATTAAAGTTTCTTGAAGCATTTTAGAAGTCTGACTAATCTCTCTGTCTCTATTTTATTTTTCTAAAGTGAATTTAGTGCTGGTGAAAGGTTCCAGATTGACAGCCCTGGAGACAGGAGCGGACTGCTTATCCACGTAATAGGCCCAGGCCAGACAGCTGCAGCCAAGCTCTGCTCCCTGCAGCCATCGGCTCCTGTGCCGTCATTTCGGACACTTTGCTGAGTCTGGGATGGTGATGGGCATGACTTTGTCTGGCTAATATTATATGGTTTTCTTTATATCCAGAGAGGTGGCTAAATTGAATCATTTCTGGAAAGGCACCAGGAGCCTAACTTGGTCTTATCTCCATCCTTTTGACTATTAAGGGTGCATCAGGACTTCAGCACAGGCACAGTGGGTAGGGAGAGTTACTCTACGTGGCTGATCTGAGATGTGACAGCATTTGGGCAGGCATCCTTCACGACACACAAAGCAAATAACCACAGCCTCAAAGCAATCTTGAAGTCCAAGCCTAAAGAAGTGCCTGTAACTGAGAACTAACAAAGATGTGGAAAACATTCTTGGGCTGAAACTGCCTAAAAATGCAACAGACAGAGCTAGGTGAACAACGGAAGACTTGTTTGCCATCTCCAAAGGAAAACAAACCCGTTTGTTTGACACACAGCAAGTTGACACCACCTGGCTGCCTGGGCAATCATCAGCTGGCAGCAATGCTCAGGAACCACCACACCGAGCTGCACTGCGATGGCAGTCTGGCTACAGGAAAGCTGATGATATGTGGTACTAATGCTATCCAAGTCCCTGACTCACAACTTCCTCTCATTACCAAGCAAATCTAACCAGAGTGGGTAGATCTGGCTGCTATCTTAAACGAATGAGGAGGATATTTTCTTTGGCTGTCATTTCTGTTTTCATTCGCAGGAATGTTACTGGTCTTTGGATGCCATCATGGCACTCTTGGAGGTAAGAAATTAACACGGGCTATTATTTCTCTAAGCCTTTCCTTTCCCCAGCCAGCAGCATCCAAACATCCACATTCAAGCCCAGCATTAGCAAGCCTGCTACTATATTGTACTGGGGTAATTTCCAGCATCAAATCCTTCTGAGTGAAAAGCCATCCTATACAAGATAAATGACCTTTACTCAACAATTCTTAAGTTGCTCTTGAGAAATTCTGTAATTGTTGGAGGAGGGAGGGGAACAAACCACAAGCCTCAACAAGGAGGAAGGTTTTACACAATAGTTCCTTGTTTTCCAAAATTTCCCCAAACAAATATCGTACTGGCAATTTCCATACTTCTATTTCAATCTGTTCTGGCTGTCAGAAGAAGAATATCTACATCCTCAGCCCTGTGAAGACATATGTACATGCTTAATATACACATAATGATTGCTGCTTCGTGCAGCTACTCCCAGGATGTGAAGTTTTGTTTGTACACAAAAGCCTTTACAGAATAGGGCTTTTGTCTTCTTATATACTTATTCAAATGAGCTCAGATATCAATTCAGTTTCCTACCATGGGAATATTACAATTGCAAATAAATTCTCTTTTATTCCAAATATTGACTATTCCAGGACACAAAGTGAAATTGCAGACGTTTGGTTATAGCTGTAAGCAGTGCACTCATCCTAAGTGCAAGGAGCTGAGCTCACTCCAGTCCCAAAATTGATTTGGCTCCCACACTTCTGCAAATTAGGTTCCATATTTCCATGCTTAAGCACAAAACCAACCTGTAACTTTAACGTTTAATATTTAAATGAAGTGTTTAATATTTACACAACAAGTTCTTTTTTTAAATTTAAACCCCTGCCTAAGCAAGGCAGAAAATAGTAATGGGTGAACCTCAAACCACTGAAGGCTGGGTCCAGTTCAGAAGCTTTTCCAAACCTCTTCTGTGTGTAAAAAGCATTGACTGAGAGACTCGCAAGAACATGACTCATCTGGATGCGGCTCTGACTTATAGGCCATCACATTTTGAGTGATGGCCCCCAAGTTCTCCTTCTGATCACCAATTTTGCTGTTGCTTTCAAATTTAATGATGCTGAGTCACAATGGTGATAAAATCTTTGGAAAACCAGTTTAATCTGCCTGCAGAGCCAGAGCCAAACGGAGGTCTGTCTGAGCACTGCCCTGATTTGCTCCCATCTCAGCCTATTCCAGTCCACCCTGGAACATTCCCTGAGGCCAGGGCTGATGCAAAGGATGATACAAAATTAATAGATTTGCATTTGACTCCCCAGTCATCCTATTACCAGAGGTATTCCATACAGGCCCTCTGATTTCACCTGCACCACCTCTCTGTCAACTTGGTTTATGTTAAGAGCCACAGAAAATTGTCAAACCAAACCCTGTGGCTAATGTAAGATGTAAGAAGCTGATGCAGTTGTTACATAAACTTCTGACAACTACATTCACCCAAACTGCACCCCAGAGTTGGGCAATGCACCAGTTTTGGGTTTTTTTTCTCAAGACTGAATGTATGTCCACCGTAAAGAGGAAACTGCACACTCTGCAGCCATCCTTAGGGACTTCTCTCTAGAGACTGCAATATCCAAAGCCTTAAAAGGCAGCGATGGACAGGTCTAGGTAAACTCGGGGGCCTACAGGACATCAAATGCCGTTCCTGATCTGTTATAACTCACATTATTCACCACTAATCCACCAGGTTGAGGCATCCCATCTCATTTTATCTAACTGTTTATTGTAGGGTGATACAATCCACCATGAAACCACATCAGCCTTTATACACCAATAAACAGTTTAAATAGTCATAGCTCTGTGGTCCAGAAATAATAACCATTTTTATCATTGAGGGATAAAGGGAGACAAGAAAAGTTAATAAAAAGGGAATAACCAAGCTTTCTGGAGCCTAAGCTAAACCTGATACAGCTCAAAAGTTTCAGTTCAGTCATTGTCTTCTTCAGCTTAATTCCTAGTGGAAATAAACTTAAATAGTTAACCAGTACCACTGAGTCCATCAGAGGGAAAAAGGAAGAGTTTTGAAGCTAGAGAAGCACGAGTCCTAAGCAAACAAACACACAATGGCAACAAACAATCAAAAAATAAAATTAAAAACCAAACTGTTTAAACTCAGCATACATGGCTGCTGATGTTAATGGGACTTAACTTCACTGGCTTTATCATCTTCTCCATCATAATTGCTCTGCCTTGATGGAATTACTTCAGTAACATCTAGACCAGCCTCACCTCTCTGCAATTGTTCATCTCAGGGCACTGGGCTGTGACCCTGCAGAAGCATGCAGTGGCTGTGCCATGGTGAACCAGCTGCAGCAGGAATTTGTCCATTGGTACTTAGGTTTCCTGTTATATCACTCCAAACAGAAAGAAAAGCACAGAGAGCCAGAATTCAAGAAAAATTTACTGCCTTTAAGCAACAGCAGTAACTTACAATATTATCCATCATCTATGACACTTCCTAGGAATTTCTGGACTCATTCCTGTGACAACTTCAGAGAAGAAATCTGGGCTCTGCAAAGACCTGAGTTACATCCTCTGACGGCAACATCACAGGGATCAAATTCAATCAAGGGAACCCAAATAACCTATTTTTATTCTTGCAACTTCTGGTAAATTTTATTTCTGTGACTTGAGGTGATTATTTTTCCCTTTTGATACCATTTTCAGTGCATGCCCTTCATTTCCCCTGTGGAGCCAGCCCAAATGTCACAGAGACTATTAATGGTGTATACTTAACACACATACTCACAGTATGTTCATTCTCAGGAAGACTAAACATTATTGAAAGGTTACAGCATTTATTTTGATGTGTGTCTGTTTAACCAATTCTAGCAAATGTTACACAAACACAAAATGGGCTTTCCTTCCCTGTTCCTCACCAGCCATCCCAAGCCATTGATTTTTAAACAGAAATCCTTTCTCAAATCAATGAGGAATTTAAAACCTGATGTCACATGGAGCATGGAGACGGTTCAAATGTACAACAAACAAATATGTAAAGAAGAAAGAAATATTTCATCCTTTCTCCCTGTAGCCGTACTGAAGCCCGTTAACAGCTTCAAGCTCACCAGTTTCTACCAGCTTCTGGCTGATTTCAGGGGCCACGTCTCCAGCAGCAATATTAGGAAGAACCAGAAGTTTGGTTTCTCACTGTTTTGATTCTCATTTAATGGACGACATTTGGATGGACTTCCTGTGATTCCTAAGGATTTTATTGGGACTGAGCATAACAGTCAATAAATGGAGCCCTTCTTGTGGCTGTTCTGAGCACGGAGAAAACAACAAACTTGTAAAACATGAGTTAGAATTTAAATTTGCACAATATCCCAGCTGCAGTTTGAAGTGGACCTAACACTATGCATTCATCCTCATCAGCCATCACTCAACGGCAAAAGTGGGATTAATCATCTCCACTACAGCTACTAGCATTATTGATTATGTGTTATTTCTAGAGAGTTAAACCCTTAGGGCAAAAACAAAAACAAACAAACAAACAAAAACCAAACCAAAACAACCAACAAAACAATAACAAAACAAAAATAATGCCAACACAGAAAAACCTAAAGCAAACAAGCCTTTCCCTGCTCTTGAAAGGCAACTCTGCGTAAAATCACAGAGATTTATTGCTAGGGAAGCCCCACCACACACCTTAGTTGACATCAAAGAGTCAAGGGCATATGAGGCCACAATCAAGTCAGGCAGCTTCTTCCACCTTGTTTTTTCATTACCTCATAAGTTCCTTTGCACAATACATCCAGTGCCATCAAAACACTGTGCAAGCATGAACACTGTTCACACAGAGCCAGAATCATATAGCAGTAGCAGCTACTATTTGGAGTATTAGCAAAGCTAATGAATCCCCAGCCCAAAAATACAGCCTTACACAGTCAGACACCAATCAAATTCAGCATCTTGTCTTTACGCTGTGAGAAATTAGACTGACTGGGCTCCTTATCCAAAATGTCAAACACGATAATAAAGTCAGGAGAGAAGGCTGTCCTTTCCTCGAGCACTTTGCTGCTCTGACACCTTGTCCTCAGACACTAAGCTGCCCTTTTGTCAGGAGCTCATCATCAAAGCCACCCCCCACTGCCCTGCTCCCCACATACCTTCCCACTGCTGGCAGTATGGCACCTGCTCAGGCTCTGCCCACCTGGGGAAGCTGGAGCAGCGAGGAGATTTGTAGCCTTGGGCAGCTAGAAAGTGGTGTCAGAGCCTGTGGAGGCCTCTTAATTGCTCCCAGGGAGCCCTGTAATCCTACCTGTGTCTTCTCCAAATGGAGCAATGTAGAATCTTGGGGGATGTTATGGGGTGAAGGAGCAGCCTGGAGTTAGGGCAGTAGAAGCAGAATAAGACAGCAGTCCATTTTCCATCCCAGGCACTCTTCCTGCTCGCTGCAGTGTCCTTGTGTTCACGCCCGTCCCAGTCAGACTGGGCAGCTCTTGGTGCACTGCCTCCAGCGGAGCAGCCTTGGAAGAGGGAAGGAGAGAGACGTCATGCCTCGTCTGGAGACAGCAAACCTTGGTCCTCAGGAGATGACCTTGAATAGAAATGCCCTTCTCAGGGCAGACAGCCCAGTGATGCTATGGAAGGGAGCTTAGCAGCACTAGCACAAATAGCCATTGGCATTTTCCTATTGCCAAGACCGCAGCCTTGAAAATGAGTAAATAAAATAGAAACCTTAGACTGGGCAACATCTTCATTCCTTAGCCAACTGTGAGGAGTAACGGAGAAGGTTGCACCCTCTGCTACCAGAGAAGAGGGCCACTGGGGCAGTGGATTTACCACTTCCACCTGGAACCATTATTTCATGTGATTTTTTGCAGGATGGTCATCCCCACGGTGCCAAGGCCCTCTGGGAACACAGCAGACCAGTTGGGGGGACAGCAGGGTTCACAATGACTTGTTCCTACCATGGCATCCCACCTTGTCCCTGTGCAACAAGGACACCTGGGGGTGACCTATGAGGACACCTCAAGCAAAAAAAATCCTGCCTTTCTCTCACCTCAGAGGATGAATGAACCATCAAGCACAAAAACATAAACCCAGCTGGAAAGAAACAGGAACTATTCCCAAACACGATACGAAAGCTCTTACTCAAAGTATAAAAGTAAATATTTTCATAATTCATTTTTCAATTTCATGCCACCTCTGCAATAATTATTTGCGGCGAAGATTCTGCCTGCCAAAATGTTAGAGAACGCCACCAACACAGCCAGAGACATCTTTGGGAGGAAACTCACACAGCAGCCCCACAGCCACGAGATGCAATGGATGCAGATGTTCCTGGAGACGGGCAGCCAGGGCACGGCATGGACCCTTCTCCAGGGCACATCCCAGCCACTCCAATGGCCCTCCACTGTGCCTCCTGCTTGCAGCAGGGCTGGCAGCAGGGGAATTTGCCCAATATTCAGACAAAACAGGGCCCTACGGGGTGCTGCGAGGCTGGACGTGCGCAGAACTATTTCGGCAGAGGACTCAAACAGCTGCATAGTTTCTGACCATCTCAGCACAACAACCCCATGTCAATACGCGGAGAGGAATGCGGAGACCTCAACGGTGCCTCTCGACACCCATCTGTTTTTTAGAGTCAACTTCCCTGAACTCCTCTGCAAACTATTAGCACGCCGAACGTCCAGTTGAGGGCTATGTTTTGTGTGTGTGCTTTAATTCCAAAGTAAACTCTTCTGCCTCGAGAAACATGCTACACAATAAACTAATTTGAGCTGAGCTTAGTTTAATCTTTCTGGGCTTTTTCTTGTTTTGATCTGATCCCAGAAGTGGAAGTCTGGTTTAGGTATCGTGTTTTTGTTTTGTTTTGGGGTTGAGGGTTTTTTGGCTTTTTTTTTTCCCTCTCATTCTGGGATTTGCTCTCCACAAGCCAGATTCCTGGATTTGACAAGTTCTGTTTTATGCTACTTACACTACCACCTGCGCAGCCAGAGAGATTTAAAAGGCTGACTTCCCTGTTGGTAAAAGCAACAACAAGCAAACAGAGCTGCGTTCAGGACAGGCTGAAAAGTAATTGGCTTCCTTTTTTTGTATGGATTTACAGACGTGTCCTTCCCTGTTTTCCCTGTATGCACCCAGTCCTTTTCCTCTTCATAATGTGCTTGCTTCATCTCACAGAAGCTCTCTTGACGTGTTGGCATTCTTTAGTAATCCTCTTTTTTACACTCACTAATTAGCCCCTGTCTGAAGACGTAACGAAGGGGAGCCACACCATTCCCAGGCTGCCTTGGGGACTGCAGTGGCCATTCCTGCTGGGCAGCATCACCTCACCTCTGTGCCAACTCATTGCTTCCCTCACCAGGCCAGGAAGACCCAGAGACCACAGCTGTCCCGTCAGGAGCCGAGTGATGCAATTTGCCCAATATCCAGGCAAAACGAGGCCAAACTTCCTTGCCTGGTGAAGTGACTCACACTGCAAACAGAGTCCTGCACAGGGTCAAGAGGAGGTCTGGGCGTCCTGATTCTCTTGTGTGGCTCAGCAGACTACAGATGGAGCAGGAAGGGTGGGGAGTGAGAGTGATGGAGCAAAGCAGAGCGAGGGCTGAACCCCACAGAACCAACCTGATGGGTGGGAGATAAGCCTGACCTACACTCTCCTGCTGCAGAGTTTGATTTTGGAAAGCAAAGGTCAAAGTTTTGCTCAGTTCTTGAGGAAGGTCTGCCAAGCACTACTGTAACAGCCCAGCTCTCTGAGTACAGCACACCACACTAACGGAAAAGGAAAAATAATAATAAAGAAGGAACAAGTAATCCCTTTGTATAAAAATAAAAGCAAATAACATACTGTAAATATAAAAGTTATGTGGAGAGGTGAGATCTGACATTACAACTCAATGGGATTCTCCAATACAGCGTACAACTCAGAAAGTTCCCTTAGAAAAAAGTGTTTTTCTTGACTTCTCATTCTTTCACAGAAGCATCATTCTTTAGTCAATAAGACAAAACTAATAACAACAACAACAAAAAAGGCCAGCTGTTCCCAAAGGTAAGTGGGACCCTTCCTTCAGTCTGCGCTCCCTTCTCTTCCCACTCCCTCCAGGCTCTCTCCCTCCACTCAGATAAATCTAAATGAGTAAAGCACACACAAGAGAACACAATGACTAAGACCTTGATGTGTAATAATACGTCTGTGCTGTAACTAGACATAAACCTTTTAAAAATTAAAATAGGTGAGTCAAAGCTACAGAGACCTTTCTAAACACCAGACAGAACCAAGAAAAAACCTCATCCCACATCAGGGCACTTTCAGTTAAAGCAATTCTTACTTAAATAAAGCTGCCTATTATTGTAATTGCAAAAAAGCTCTTCATTTCAGTTTGGCTTTGATAATGAGGCATTGAGTAAAAGCAGCATCCTGGACAGACACTGCCTCCATTTGGTTCTGTCTCCCTTCAAGTCACTCATCTTCACCCACTGGAGACACAAGGACAGACTGCTACTTCAAGCTGCTGCAAATCAGATCTTTCAGAAGAGCCAGGATTTGGGAAAAAAAGACAAAGCTTTTTGTAAAGATTGCAGTGCTTGTCGGTCCATAGAGCAAGATGAAGTGCCAACAGGTAGGAGGAGATATGGTCACTGCTGCACAGCAGATGCTGCATGAACCTGGAACTAAGTATGACTTGCTTGAGGCTGAGCTTCTGTAGAACTGAGATCCAGAACCTGTATGCCATGCAGCAGCACATCCCTACACAGCCCACATTGCAGTGAATGGCACCCAGACCCACAGAGCAACAGCTTCACAAACCAAACTCTTCTCCCACTTTCAATACTACCAACTTGCAGCTAAGAAGCTAGTAAGACACATCCACAAAATGCAGAGCTGAGAACAGATCCGTTCAGAATCGGTTGATCAAATAGGCCATAAAAACATTAATAAAAGAAGAAGAAAAAAAAAAAAAGTGGTGTAAATGAATATTCAGTCTATGGTTGACAAAAGATAATTCCACATCAAGGTACTCTTGGAACGCAGGAATGTAAGATATTCTGCTCCAGGCCTAATCCTGATTAGGTGCCTTGGGCTAAAAGGAAATACTTTACAGTTCTGTTACAAAACATGAATAAACAGAAGCCTTGGGTTACAAAAAGTAAAAACTGAGTAGGGATTCCAAGATTTACCCCATTAATCATAAATTACTAAGAAAAGCAATTCATAGAAGAGCTCACTTTGTGAGCCGCAAAAACGTAAGAACCGATGATAAAATAGCAACGATTGTGTAGAAATTGCGTCTAGGATGTTCATGGTCAGTTGTTCGTTAGGATGGCTCACTTCCTAATGGAAGGGCCTGGAAAGGCCAGGTTGTGCAACGACTGCTTGCGCAGGGAGGAGTTATGGATGCAGTGGTCCCGCCGGCCCTGGCGGAGCTGGAGACGCCCGTCCTGAGCACTGGGGCCGTGGTCTGGCCATCGGCTGCAGTGATTCAGGCAGCAGGGCTTCGGTTTGCCTCCTGGGAAGCTGTGCTCAGGCCGTCTGGGCTGGAGGTGGAAACGTCTCGTTAGATCATCCAGCTCATCTTCCTGCCAGCGCAGGTTTGTCTCCAAAGACATTTTCTAGGATTTTATCCAAACTGCTTTTACAAAGTCCTAAACAATGGGATTCCACCATCGCGCTGCTGCGACTATTCCATAGCCCAGTGTCCTTTGCTGGTAAACATGTCCTGATAGCCACATTTATTTCATGTTGTTCCCATGTTACTCTGCTATTCGTAACCCCAGACTGCTCCCTCTCTGGCAAAGGGATGGCACAGAGGAAAAACTCAACAGGATTCACCCTGCCCAGACTGCAGTGGTGTATCCTGCAGTGACAGATTTCTCTTCAAAGGAAATAACAAAATTCCAGCTCAGGAAGCAAGATGTCCCCCGGATCATCACAATCTCAGCCGTGTTTGGTCATCAGCTCAGCAGATCTGGAAAGGATTATTTGGGCGATCTTCCTGTTTTCCCCCCTTCGACATTTAGAGGCTCTGTATCCCACAGTCACGTTTACACCCTCACTTGGTACCTCTTGCTCCCTCTACTGCACGAAGTCTCATTTGGCCACATCAGTGCAGAATTTTTCCTTTTTTTTAAATGTTGCTCTGGACTTAAGGTTTACACCCAAGAAACCAGCGCATGCAGCATAGCTGCCTTAGTCTATTTAGACTCTCTGTATCAAACGTTTCTCGCCACAGCACCGTATGAATCCTGAAACTCTGATAAATAATGCATTCGAGCAAAAGATAAATCCATTTCCTTCTATTAGTTACAATTACCTCCTGAAATAGTAAAGGAGTTATTGGGTTACTAAAGCAGCCGTGGTTTCAGTAAGAGCATTCACCGTTCAGATGGCACTTTGAGCCCAAATAGGATAATTTCACGTTCCTTTGGTCCTTGTCCCCCTCCACTTACTGGCAGTGAGAGATTTACCCGATTTGCTCCTTCACTTTCCAGATCCCTGTAGAGGCTAATGAAGGAATCAAGCCTTCCTTTGCTGCATTATTTAATCTCACCTGGGCATAATAAATAGGAAATCCCCAGCACTCTTTACATACTTGTAGCGCTGGGCCACTTTTACAACATGAATACAACTGGAGCATTGTTGTATCTTGAGATTTTTAGAGAGGTCTCACTACTGGGCATTTTCTCACAATGTTCAGCCTGAGTTTTACTTATTTTCCTGCCTCTGCCTATAGGTTTGCCTCTGTTGGCTCAAACTAGACATTTCTGTTTCTCCCTGGTATTTCTGTGTTTGAAGATAGTTATCATATGCCTACTTAGTCATTTTAAACCAAGCAGCCATATTTAGCTCTTTTTAATCTTCTAGTCATAAATCATCCCACCCTGGTCTCCTTTGCCAACATCAGGAATGTTTTCCTATAGTTCCAGAAACTATGCTCTGGTTAGAAAACAGCTTGTATATGATTGCAGACAGAACAGACTCAGAAATTACCAGGGGGAAAAAAAAAAAAAAAAGGAAAATTGAGTATCCTCCAGCAGGTAAAATTCCCGTGAGTTCCCAATCTTGTGCCTTCGGTTTCCCGCTGCAAAATCCTTGAAGAACCTCAGAACTAGGCAACAATATATCAAAATATCCAACAACACACCTAATCATTCATGTCACTTCTGACCCTTTGCCACTTGGGCTCGGGGTACTTCCTTCCTTGCACTTTGTTAAACGTGTTTTTAATCTGCTTAAATTGCACAGCAACATGGCACAACGTAAACGGACACATGACCCAAGCAATTTTTAAAGGACTTTTTTTACAAAAGTGGCTCTTTCCCATTTGGCCAATGAAAAGGATTGGGCCATGTCTTACCTCGTGTGTAGGCTATGGATAAGGGAAGGATGGATGGGAGTCCCAACGCCCTCTTTCCGCATTGCTGACCATGCACTCCTCTCGCTGGGAGGCAGAGATGCTTCTGCAGTCGCTCTGCCCAAGGATGCACACCCATCCATACTGTGCACAAGCTCGTCTGCTGTTCACATTCACTTTGGACCTTTCATCCTCGCTTTTCTAATGGGACGGAGAGTAGAGAGCAGAGATCCCAGGTAATTATCCTGCAAAAGAAACCACTCTGTGTTCTTCCCCTCCTCCCTCCTTTATTTAAGAGTTAACACAGAGGATTTCCGTGTGTCATCAGCCAAATACTGCAGTACAACTCCAAAAGACAAAACAAGGGCTTTCTTTTCTTAATACATTTCTTCCACTGTTCACTTGTTTATAGGACTCAGTCATTCTCAACGAGCCAAACCTG